AATAGAATAGAATAGAATAGAATAGAATTATCCTTGGTCAATGCTTCCTTTTGGATCAGATAGCATTTCCAAGATCAGTGATGACAATCGTGCCATCACTGTACTGGTGTCTGAATCCACCCTAATTAATTTTTATTTGATTTAATTTTTTTTATATATATTTTAGTTTTAAAGAAATAAATAGGTAAAGAATTGTTTCTCTTTTTTTTTTTTTTGCAGAGGAGTGACATGCCAGGATTGTCAAATTAGGTATTTTCCAAATTGTTGACATGCCAAGCCCAAAAGGTTCACCATCACTGCATTTGCCCAATCAAGTGGCATGCACATGTAAGCCACTCTCACACACCCACACTGCTGCCTGCATTTGCAGATACTTACCCTGGTTATTAAATTCTCGTTTTGTGGGTTTGCATAAAAAAAAAACCACACACACACACGTGAGCTGGATTTGCAGTTAGAGAAAAATTTACCAAGGTTAAGGTGAACCAAAGTTAGCGTATTGTGTGAAGACATCTGCTAGGCTAGGACCTGATCTGATGTGGTTAAGCCAATTGTATGAATGCAATCCCTGGAAGGGTTCACACCCAAGCTTAATTTTTTTTTGGGGGGGGGTATACTAAATATCTGGCTGGGAACGTTCCAAAAGTGCTTTTTCAGGAGGCAACTGGACTCTCCTCGTTTTTGCTTGAAGAGATTTCACTTCTCATCCAAGAAGCTTCTTCACTTCGGCTCAATTCAGTTCAATTCAGTTTAGAACTGAAGAAGCTTCTTGGAAGCGAAGCGAAACGTCTTCAAGGAAAAACTAAGATAGTCCAATTGCCTCTTGAAAAAGCACCTTTGGGACAACTATGACCCTGGATCAGGGCTCTTCAAACGTGGCCCTTTTATGACTTGTGGACTTCAACTCCCAGAATTCCTGAGCCAGCATGGGGGAACTATGGCCCCTTCATGACTTGCGGACTTCAACTCCCAGAATTCCTCAGCCAACGTGCCTAGCTGAAGAATTCTGGGAGTTGAAGTCCACAAGTCATAAAAGGGCCAAGTTTGAAGACCCCTGGAATAAACAAATGAATAAATTAAATGAAAGTAACTGTGGCTTCAGGAAGCTATTTCGGGAAACAAAGGCAGTCAAAGAAACAATTCTCACCACGACAGGCCTGAAAGGTGGGTCAATCTCTTTCCTTTCCAAAGCTTCCCAACAGATCTCTTGAAAGAAGCCATGTTGGCGGATGTTCCCTCTCACTCCCAACCGTCTCTCTGGCTCTCTAACGAAAAGCTGGAAATCAAAAGAACGAAGCTGAAGAAAATTAATACATTTGACATTAAGGGTATGTGAAACATGTGTCCCCTCCAAGCAAAATGGCTTTAAAAAGTGAGAAAACAATCTCTTTAGAACAGGGGTCTTCAAACTTGGCCCTTTTATGACTTGTGGACTTCAGCTCCCAGAATTCCTCAGCCAGCCTCCATTTTGTTTGTTAGATTTAAGACAGGGGTCTTCCAGCTTGGCCCTTTTATGACTTGTGGACTTCAGCTCCCAGAATTCCTCAGCCAGGCAGCGCCTGCCTGAGGTATTCTGGGAGTTGAAGTCCACAAGTCATAAAAAGGCCAAGTTTGAAGACCCCTCATCTGCAGGAATTGCATTTCCAAGAAGATCCCCCATCTGAACCTATCAATCTTGGACATTCTTTTTATTTTATTCAGAATAACAGAATTACAGAGTTGGAAGGGGCCTTGGAGGTCTTCTAGTCCAACCCCCTGCTCAAGCAGGAGATCTTATACCATTCTGGACTAATGGCTGTCCAGTTTCTACTTAAAAACCTCCAGTGATGGAGCCAATCACAACTTCTGGAGGCAGGTTGTTCCACTGGTTAATTGTTCTAACTGTCAGGAAGTTTCTCCTTAGTTCCAGGTTGCTTCTCTCCTTGATTAGTTTCCATCCGTTGCTTCTTGTCCTGCCTTCTGGTGCTTTGGAGAATAACTTGACTCCCTCTTCTTTGGGGCAGCCCCTGAGACACTGGAACACTGCTATCCTGTCCCCCCTCGTCCTTCTCTTCATTAGACTAGACATACTCAATTCAGACTAGAATAGAGCTGGGAGGGACGTTGGAGGTCTTCTAGTCCAACCCCCTGCTCAAGCAGGAGATCTTATACCATTCTGGACTAATGACTGTCCAATTTCTACTTAAAAACCTCCAGTGATGGAGCAATCACAACTTCTGGAGGCAGGTTGTTCCACTGGATAATTGTTCTCACTGTCAGGAAATTTCTCCTTAGTTCTAGTTTGCTCTCCATGATTAGTTTTCATCTGTTGCTTCTTGTCCTGCCTTCAGGTGCTTTGGAGAATGGCTTGACTCCTTCTTCTTTGTGGTAGCCCCTCAGATACTGGAATACTGCTATCATGTCACCTCTAGTTCTTTTCACTACCCAATATACCCAATTCCAGCAACCGTTCTTTATGTTTTAACCTCCAGTCCCCTAATCCTCTTTGTTGCTCTTCTCTGCACTCTTTCCAGAATCTCAACATCTTTTTTTGTATTGTGTGACCCAAACTGGATGCAGCATTCCAAGTGTGGCCTTACCAAGGCGTTGTAAAGCGGTATTAACACGTCACGTGATTTTGCTTCTACCCCTCTGTTCATGCGGCCTAGGACTGCACTGAAAGAGATCGGACAAACTGGAAACACCCCTCCTCTGGTGCAATGGAATCTCCCAACCTCACCTTTACTAAGAGGTCCCTTGCAATCTTGTCAAGCCAGCGGGGGTAGAATGGGCTGTCCATGCGGATGGACTGGAAGAGCTGTTCTTCATCCTGGCCGTGGAAGGGGGACTGGCCAATCAGCATCTCATACAGAAGGACCCCGAAGGACCACCAGTCAGCCGCCATGTTGTATTTCTGCCCAAGAAGAATCTGCCATGGAAAGAGAAGGGAGAGATTTTTTTTTTAAAAAAAGGAAGCTTAAAGAAGGACGGTGCACCCTTTAATATAGGGTAGTCCTTGACATACGGCCATAATTGAGCTTAAAATATCTTTTGCTAAGCAAGAGAGTTGTTAAGTGAATTTTGCCCCGTTTTACGACCTTCAAATGAATCAATGCAGTTCTTAAGTTAGTAACATGGTTGTTAAGTGAATTTTAAGTGAAGTGCTGTGATTCACATAATAACTGTGGCAAGGTCATAAAATGGGGCAGGACTCACTTAAAAACGGTCATGTTTGGAACAGAAAGTCGGGGCTTAACCGTTGGGGATGATAGAACATCTGCTGAACCCCCAAACCACACCCCCTCTCCAATCTGTCCATATCTTGCAACTTTTTTCACGTGAGAACAATTAAACCTTGCAATTAAATCATGAAAAAATTCTGAATCTAGCAAGATGTTAATAAAAATCTCCTGAGATTTCAGCAACATCGTTCAAGACGAATGGCCCAAATCTGGTAGGTTTCTTAAACTCCTTCTTTCTCTTTCTGATTCTTTCTGAATCTCTGATTCTGATTTATGACCAGAATAAATTTAACAGAATAACAGAGTTGGAAGGGACCTTGGAGGTCTTTTAGTCCAACCCTCTGCTTGAGCAGGAGACCCTATAGCAGGGGTAGGCAACCTTGGCTCTTTTATGACTCGTGGACTTCAACTCCCAGAATTCCTGAGCCAGCCTGGCTCAGCTTGGAAACCTCTCCCTTTTCCCTCAGCATGGCTGGCTCAGGAATTCTGGGAGTTGAAGTCCACGAGTCATAAAAGAGCCAAGATGGCCTACCCCTGCCTTATACTATTCTGGACAAATTGTTGTCCAATCTCTTCTTAAAAACCCCCAGTGATGGAGCACCCACAGCTTCTGGAATCAAGCCATCTGAAGGCAAGATATACAATTATTGTACGTTGTTTACTAAGCACACAGCCCTTAATAATTCTGCATTGTTCCCAAGAATGATGGGACGTGTTTTAGAACATAGAATAATAGAGTTGGAAGGGATGTTGGAGGTCTTCTAGTCCAACCCCCTGCTTGAGCAGGAGACCCTATACTATTCTGGACAAATCTCTTCTTAAAAGCCTCCAGTGTTGGAGCATTCACAACCTCTGGAGGTAAGTCCTTCCACTGGTTAATTGTTCTCACTGTCAGGAAATTTCTCCTTAGTTCTAGGTTGCTTCTCTCCTTGATCAGTTTCCATCCGTTGCTTCTTGTCCTGCCCTTAAGTGTTTTGGAGAATAGCTTGATTCCCCTCTTCTTTATGGCAGCCCCTCAGATATTGGAATACTGTTAGCATGTCACCCCTGGTCCTTCTCTTCATTAAACTAGACTAGACCCAATTCCAGCAAATGTCCTTTATATGTTCTTTTATTTTAGACTAGCTGTACCCAGCCACGCATTGCTGTGGCTAAGTCTGGTAAAAGCGTGTGTTGCTTTTACATCCAACAGATGGCACTGCTTTTTTTAAAAAAACATGTTTTTACCTGTCACAGGTGTGACATCTATATAATATAGGTATATAAAAACACGCGTGTATTCGAATGCAACGTTGTGTCAAAATTTCAAAGCAATCGGTGAAGAACTTTCGGAGATTTAAGATTTTGAACAAACGAACATTTACATTTTTATTTATATAGATGAAAAAGGCCCACCTACCTCAGGGGCAATATAATCGGGGGTCCCGCAGAAAGTGCTGGTTTTAGCATCCCCTAACATGTTCTCTTTGCACATACCAAAGTCAGCAATCTTGATGTGGCCTTCTTTGTCGAGGAGAACATTATCAAGCTTGAGGTCTCTGAAAGAGGATGAAAAGTTAGATCTTTTCCTTCAAAAGTCCCTTTTGGGGAGTAACTTAAGATAATCTTCTCCATTTCCATTTAAGAGCCTTGGTGGCGCAGTGTTTAGAATGCAGTACTGCAGGCTAATTCTGCCGACTGCCAGCAGTTCGATCCTGACCGGCTCAAGGCTGACTCAGCCTTCCATCCTTCCGAGATCGGTAAAATGAGGACCCCGATTGTTGGGGGCAATAGGCTGACTTGGTAAACTGCTTAGAGAGGGCTGTAAAGCAGGTTGAAGTGGTATATAAGTCTAAGTGCTATTGGTAAGTGGGAAGGAAGGAAGGAAGGAAGGAAGGAAGGAAGGAAGGAAGGAAGGAAGGAAGGAAGGAAGGAAGGAAGGAAGGAAGGAAGGGCTGTGGTTGCAGTGGTTAGAATGCAGTACTGCAGGCTAATTCTGCCGACTGCCACCAATTTGATCCTGACCAGCTCAAGGTTGACTTAGCCTTCCATCCTTCCAAGGTCAGTAAAATGAGGACCCCGATGGTTGGGGGCAATATGCTGACTCTGTAAACTGCTTAGGGAGAACTGTAAAGCAGTGGGAAGTGGTATATAAGTCTAAGTGGAAAGGAAGGAAGGAAGGAAGGAAGGAAGGGCTGTGGTTGCCCAGTGGTTAGAATGCAGTACTGCAGGCTAATTCTGCCAACTGCCACCAGTTTGATCCTGACCAGCTCAAGGTTGACTCAGCCTTCCATCCTTCCGAGGTCGGTAAAATGAGGACCCAGATTGTGGGGGGCAATATGATGACTTTGCAAACAGCTTAGAGAGGGCTGTAAAGTACTGTGAAGCGGTATTCTAAGTGCTATTGCTATTTCCCAATCCATTGCAGCTGCCACTCCCTGTGCCTAAAATCTATTTATTTATCTGATGTATATCCCACCTTTCTTAATTCTTTTGAAAGCACAGTGGTACCTCGGTACTCATCGTTAATTGGTTCGGGAGGTGCAATGAGTACCATAAACACTGAGTACCAAATCAATCTTTCCCGTAAGGAACGGTGTAGTGAGTCACAAGGCAGCTGACAGCGACACGTTGAGTATCAAACACAACGATGAGTACCGAGACCAATTTTTCCAGTCAAAATGCGTTGAATAGCAAATTCAATGATTTTCAAAGCAGTTGAGTACCAAGGTACCCCTGTAACTCCTGGCTGCGAACATACATAATTGAGATAGCCCTCAACTTAACAATCATTCATTTAGTGGCTGTTCAAAGCTGCAACGTCACCGGAAAAAAATGACTTTATGACCGTTTTTCACACTTACAACTGTTGAGGCATCCCCCTGGTCACGCGATCAAAATTTGGGCAACAACAACCAGAACAACAATACGAATCTGCAGGGAACCCTCCAAGTTTACAGCTCTCTGCACTCTAATCTTTGATTTGGAAATGGCAAGATTTCAGGATTAAAAAAATAATAATAATCCCTACCTGTAGATGATGCCTTTGGAATGAAGGAATTGCAATCCACAGATGATTTCAGCAGCATAGAACCTATAAAATATAGAGATAGTTCTTTTATCATAACAAGCAGCAAAGTAGAATCCTGCTGGCTGGATCAGATGATATTAACAATTATATTTAAGGGGTCCTTGGTGCTCTCTGCTTGTTTTCTTGCAGACATTTCGTTACTCAAACTAGGTAACGTCATCAATGCTAGCATACTATGCTGATGATGTTACTTAGTTAGGTCATGAAACATCTGCAAGAAAGCAACCAAGCTCAGAGAGCACCAAGGACCCCACACTCCTCCTCCTCCTCCTCCTCCTCCTCCTCCTCCTCCTTCCCCCCAAACCACACTCCCTTCTAACACTGATGATGTTACCTAGCTGGGTCATGAAACGTCTAACACAACAAGCCAAGAAGGGAACAAAAAGACCCATACACCTCCCCACCAGCAATCAGCACCCAGATAAGCAGAGATTAACTCCAAGATTAACATCAGACCAACCATCAAGAAATAAACCACACCTCAATCAAGGAACTGCCAAACAAATCAACAGTAAACAGCCCAACATAAAACCTCTAAGATGACCTCCCATCAATACTGACAGGGCAAGCCGCTAGAATATAAACTGAGAGCAACTCCACTCCTTATTAGCACCGATGATGTTACCTAGTTGGGCAATGAAACGTCTGCAAGAAAACCAACCAAGCTCAGAGAGCACCAAGGACCCCACAGTTGAAACCTGAGCAACAAATACTGTCCTCTATTGATGGAAGAGTTTGATAAAGGCAGGCCCACCTCACCTTGCTCGGTCCATTTCAAATTTGTGGCAGTTCTGAATATGGAACATCAGGTCTCCACCGTTGAGGTACTCCATGACAAAAAAGAGGTTCTCCTAGCAAGGGAGAGAAGGATGACCTTCAGAACTTGGGCAAAAGCCCTAGAGATAGACTTGGAGCTACTAGATTACCTTACCATCCCAACATATCTGGAACAGATGAAGTTAGAGAAGGGAATTGTGAGACAGTGTTCATTTAGTAAATCTTTTAAGTACACAACTTAACAATTCTAAGAGATTAGACTGAGAGCAAGTCGCTGCCCCATCTACCCATCTCCTCTTCTGTGGCGTAGGGCGAATTTGAAACTGGGCCTTCTTGACTTTAACACCATGTTGGGTTGAGAAGGTCCAAGCTTGTCCAGGGAGCTCCTGTGGCTGAAGATGGGCAAGGAACTACGTCTCACCCTCCGAGGCCAGCATATTCTCTACTGCTCCAAGTGACCTTTGGGGGTGAGAGGGAGGGACTGGCCCAAAGTCACCCAAGAAACTCCCACGGGTGACGAGGACTCAAATTTGCACCAATTGGTTGACCGATTAATGCGTATTTTTACCTTCGTTTGGAAAGTACAGAAGACGTGGGTGAGAAATGGGTGCTCCCAAGCCAGCGAGAGGACCCGCTTCTCCACCATGGTACATTCCACGTCGTCATCCATCAGGACCACCTCCTTCTTCAGGGCTTTCATGGCGAAAAACTGGTTTGTGGTTTTGAGTTCCACAAGGAAAACCTGGAGGGAAAAACATCACCAATAAGCAAGTTAGATGAGCGAAGTCATAAAAGTTGAAATGTCTATGGAGATTCTCAGTCACCCAGGTCTTTGTTGTCCCAAAGATACTTTTTCAGGAGACAACTGGACTTTCTTGTTTTTCTTTGAAGGCGTTTCGCTTCTCATCCAAGAAGCTTCTTCATCTCTGATTGGATGGTGGGGATCTGTGTTCCTCAAGGTCACCTGAGTCGTGCAAATGGGTGTGGAGCCTTCTTGGAACTGCTGAAAAGACCTTGAGGAAACAGATAAACCTTCAGGTGGCCTCAACGACTCTCTAAAAAGAATGCAAATGACCAGCTGTCTGCAAGGAGTATAAATCTTTCCATTCCCCACCATCCAGTCAGAGCTGAAGAAGCTTCTGGGATGAGAAGCGAAACGTCTTCAAAGAAAAACAAGAAAGTCCAGTTGCCTCCTGAAAAAGCACCTTTGGGATAAAAGTGGAAAGATAATTCACATATATGAGCCTGAGGGCTTTTGCATCCATTTGCAGTCAGTTGTGGATCTGTACGGACCACCATGTTAGGAGTATACGTAGTCCTCGATTTACAACGGTTCGTTTAGTGACCATTCAAACTTTAAAAAGTGGCTTATGACCGTTTTTCACACTTACAACCCTTGCAGCATTCCCCATGCTCACGTGATCAAAATTCAGACCCTGGGCCACGGACTCATATTTATGACGGTTGCAGTGTCCAGGGGTCGCCTGATCCCCTTTTGCGACCTTCCGTCAAGCAAAGTCAGCGGGGAAGCCCGATTCACTTAACACCCATCACTGCAGGGAAATCAATTAACAACTGTGGCAAGAAAGGTTGTAAAATGGGGCAAAACTCACATTAACAACCTCTCGCTTAGCAATGGAAATTTTGGGCCCAATTGTCGTCATAATTCGAGGACTACCTATATTTAGCAGCTGAGCCAAATTATTTCTGGGCCAGGGAGTGCTGCGTTTGAAATCGTGGCAAAAGGGGACTTTTTTCAGGGGTGGGATTCAAATCCCCGAGCATCCGGTTCTCTGCCTGGATGCAGGCCTGGGCCTCCGAGGCCTAGAATGGACTTCCGGAAGTGACATCCATGCACTTCCTGTGGGCTGTTCTAGGTCTGGGAGGCCTCCTCCAGGCCTCTGAGGCCTAGAATGGACTTCCGAAAGTGACATCCATGTACTTCCGGTGGGCCGTTCTAGGCCTGGGAGGCTGCCACCAGGCCTAGAACAGACTTCCAGAAGTGACATCCACACACTTCCAGTGGGCCGTTCTAGGCCTGAGAGACCTCCTCCAGGCCTCTGAGGCCTAGAATGGACTTCCAGAAACAGCATGAATTCAGCCAGTTCTCCGAACTCAACAAAATTTCGCTACCGGTTCTACCGAACTGGTACAAACCGGCTGAATCCCACCACTGACTTTTTTGTATACTTCACCTCAACTCTGAGTTTGTCTGAGAGCTGGTTTCCCATTGGCAGGAAGTTTCACCTTTCTTCCTGGCTCTAATTTCAGAGGGTCTTTTCAATATAAGAGAGGAATGGTGGCTTAGCAGCTCCCCATCTCTCCCTTCATACTAGCCTTTCAAGAGGGAAGGATGTGAACATTGGAGAGTGGAGAGGGCAGAAGTGTGAAAAGGGCTGCACCCCACACACTTTAAAAATCAAGTTTGTACTCTCCTCCCCTCTCACCCCCACCCCCACCCCCTTACCTTGCCAAAACTTCCCTTCCCCAGCGTTCTGTGCAGGTAAAAGTCATCTATGGTTAACTTTGGCAATTCTGCTTGGATGTCTTTCCTCGGTTCCAGTTCCACTGGAGAATCCGAAACTGTGATGTCATCTGCTGGGGATTCCCAGGAAATTCCCTGTGGCTCTATAAAAAGATTCCAGAGCATTCATGTTGAAATATTTATTAATTTATTTTAAAAAAAATCTTCACTCCATCCCTTAAGGCAGAGTCATACAACATGACTCTATAGCAGGGGTCTCCAAACTTGGTAACTTTAAGGCTTCTGGATTTCAATTCCCAGAATTCTTCAGTCCGTCATGCTGGTTGCCTGGGCGTGTGTGTGTGTGTGTGTGTGTGTGTGTGTTTTAATTAAAGTTAACACGAGTTATACAGGTAGTCCTTCGACTTACAACCGTTCATTTAGTGACCGTTCAAAATTACAACGTCACTGAAAAAAGTGACTTATGACCGTTTCTCACACTTATGACCGTTGTAGCATTCCCCATAGGTCACATGATCAAAATTCAGACGCTTGTCAACTGACTCGTACTTATGACAGTTGCAGTGTCTCAGGGTCACGTGATCCCCTTTTACGATTCTTCTGACAAGCAAAGTCAATGGGGGGAATCCAGATTCACTTAACAACCATGTTACTAACTTAAGAATTGCAGCGATTCACTTAACAAATGTAGCCAGAAAGGTCGTAAAATGGGGCAAAACTCACTTAACAAATTTCTCGCTTAGCCTTAGCAACGCTGGGCTCAATCGCGGTCGTACGTTGAGGATTACCTGTATAGGTAAGAAAAATTCTACTGGGAAAAGGTATTAATAAAATGCAAGACCTTTTCTGCCTGTTGGGGGTTCTGGCTGCTCCTCCTTCACGCAGGAGATGTCAACCGGTCCTTCTCGTAAAATCTGCTCTGAATCACGTAGACTTCGAGCCTGAGTCAACACAGAACAAGCAGGGTGAGGAAAAAATAACACATCGGTGCAACATGCTGGCGGACCTCACGCAGAGGTGGAGCAGGCGCCGATCCGAAGGCCCTACCGATCAGCAAGCAAAAGGAGAGAAGAGAACGTCTATGGAGATTCTCCATCATCCAGGTCTTTTTCAGGAGGCAACTGGACTTTCTTGTTTTTCTTTGAGGACGTTTCGCTTCTCATCCAAGAAGCTTCTTCAGCTCTGACGGGATGGAGGTGAATGGAAGGATTTATACTCCTTGCGGACAGCTGGTCATTTGCCTTCTTTTGGAGAGCACTATGCTGCTGGAGAAGACTCCTGCGAGTCCCCTGGACTGCAAGGCGATCAAGCCGGTCAGTCCTAGAGGAGATCAACCCTGACTGCTCTTTAGAAGGCCAGATCCTGAAGCTGAAACTCAAGTACTTTGGCCACCTAATGAGAAGGAAGAACTCACTGGAGAAGAGCCTGATGCTGGGAAAGATGGAGGGCAAGAGAAGAAGGGGACGACAGAGAAGGAGGTGGCTGGATGGAGTCACTGAAGCAGTAGGCGTGAGCTTCAATGGACTCCAGAAGATGGTAGAGGACAGGAAGGCCTGGAGGAACGTTGTCCATGGGGTCGCGATGGGTCAGACACGACTTCGCAACTAACAACCACAAAGAGAGTCGTTGAGGCCACTTGGAGGTTTTTCTGTGTCCTCAGGGTCACCTGAGTGGTGCAAATGGGTGTGGAGCCTTCTTGGAACAGATAAAGCCCCAAGTGGCCTCAATGACTCTCTAAAAGAAGGCAAATGACCAGCTCTCTGCAAGGAGTATAAATCCTTCCATTTTCCCCACCATTCAGTCAGAACCTGAAGAAGCTTCTTGGATGAGAAGCGAAACGTCTTCAAAGAAAAACAAGGAAGTCCAGTTGCCTCGTGAAAAAGCACCTTTGAGATAGAAGAGAACATTTCTACCTTTTGATGCAGCTCTTGACCCCGTGTCCAAGAGATGCAAGATCTAAAAAAGACACCGATTTGCAAAATTGCATCCAGTTATGGAAGAAAAGGCTTGGGTTTTGCAAGGAGAATTGCAAAGATCTGCCACTGCCCTGGTGTGGAACGTCCCTAGATTTTTGTTTACAAGCAGTCCCCGACTTACAATCATTAATTTAGTGACCGTTTGAAGGAACAACGGAATTGAAAAATGACCGTTTTACACACTTACGACCGTTGCAGCATCCCCACGGTCACGTAATCAAAACTCAGGCGCTTGGCAACTGACTGATATTTATGACCATCTCAGTGTGCTGGAGAGTCACGTGATCCCCTTTTTGCGACCTTCTGAGAAGCAAAGTCAACGGGGAAGTCGGATTCGCTTAACAACGGTGTGACTAGCTTCACAGCTGCAGTGATTCACTTAACAGCTGTGGCAGGAAAGGTCACAAAATGGGGCAAACCCCAGCTCACAACTGTCTCGCTTAGCAAGGGAAACGTTTGCTCAATCGCTGTCGTAAGTCAAGGACTGCTTTTCCCAGTTCTTCCTCACTGCTCCATATAAGACAACCAGTTTCCTATTGCTGGGGTTACTGGAGCATCGGTGCTACAATTGTGCGATTAGATGAAAAAAAGAGAGAAAGATTTGTTTCGGTGTCCGAGGAAACCCAAGTTATGTGATACAGGAACAAAAACATCCTTGTGTGCAGATATCTGCAGGTATCTGGGAAAGCAAAGGAAAGACCCAGAAGGAGAAATCCTTAAAAGAAATAGAGACGGATGTGTTACTAGTGTTTCTCAATTTTCACAACTTTAAGCTAGGTGGACTTCAACTCCCAGAATTCCCTAGCCTAGCCAAACATTTTTATTTTATTTTTTTTGCCTCTCCTAGGGCAGAGGTCCCCAACCTTTTGGGCACCAGGGACTGGTTCCGTGGAGAGACGTTTTTTCCGCAGACCGGAGGGTGCGTGGTTTTGTGTGCTGCCTGCATCCCACGGATGGGGCTTTGCTTGTTTGTGCGGACCGGTTGCTGGCATGCTGCGGCCCGGTACCGGTCCACGGACCGCAGGTTTGGGACTCCTGGACTAGAAGACCTCTAGAGCAGAGGTCACCAACCTTTTCATGCTGGCGGCCCAGAGGGAAAGGGAGCAGCTGGGAAATTTGTGCACGTGTGCAGAAATGGGGCCGCACGCACCCACACGGCGCTAGCGACCCTGTTTGTGTAGGTGTGCAGGCGCTAGCCACCACCGCTAGCCCTGCATGCATATGCAAATGGGCCGTGCAATCCAGGTGCACGCTAGCGGTCTTGTTTGTGCATGCATGCAGGTGCTAGTCCCATACACATGCGCAAACAGGCTGTGGAACTTGCGTGCACACTAGCGGTCCTAGGGGAATCCGTTGTCTGGAGGATCAGGTCACGGACAACTCACAGTGGCTGCAAACTAAGATGTTCTCCATTCATTTCCCCCTGCCCGTTTTTCTTCGCAAAACATCCAGCTTACTCACTTGTTGCCTGCTCTCAATCAGTGCCAACGCTTCCGCCATGAGTTTCTGGTTCACGCCGCAAAGATTTGCCACCTTGGTTTGGCATTTGTGGTGGACGTTCATCGCGCAGGCTGCAAGGGAGAGGCCAAAATCGCCGATCAGATCTCTGGCTTCGAAACGGCTTGTGAGACGTTTGTTTTTAAAATAGGGGAGAGGTTGTTCTTCTCCTGCCCCCAAGCCGAACCTTGCTTTTTTCGCTTTAATTTTCTAACATAAATCGTTCACCGCCTGGACAGGACATAAACTATAGTGGCCCTTAAGTGGGATGTTGAGTTTAGAAGGTTGCAGCAGAGGATCAATAAAACGTCCAGCTGCCCCCGTAAAATCAATAATAGGCATATTTTGGGGGGGACAGTATGCTTGAAAAAGTGGGCTCAGATTTGTCTGAAGAGCACAAAATCTCATAGAAGAGAGCATCGGTAGCTCACGGTTAATCTGTAGTCTCTCTGACCTTGGTGGTTTTATTATTAAAGTTTTATTACCCAACTTGATAACATCATCAGTGCTAGAAGGGAGTGGGGTTTGCAGAGTGGAGGAGGAGGAGGAGGAGGAGGAGAAGAAGAAGAAGAAGAAGAAGGAGAAGAAGCACAAGCAATAGAACACAGTCCAACTAGAAAGCACAAGCAATAGAACACAGTCAAACTAGAGTCTTAGACTTCAAGAGAACTAATTTCAATAAACTTAGAGAGGGCTTGGGAAGGATTCCATGGAGGAGAATCCTCAAGGGGAAAACAACACAAGAAGCTTGGGAAATTTTGAAAAGTGAGATAATAAAAGCCCAGTCTAGCACAATACCAACAAAGAGGAAAAATAACAGCTCTCAAAAGAAACCAGCATGGCTGCATAAAGAACTCTCTGACAAATT